TTATCTCGTGCTCTTATATTAGGAGCTTGTTTGAAAGGGATTTTTGGAGGGAAGAATTGATTTTGAATAGTGATATGATGGGAAATGTGTGGTTAAAAAAGAAGAAAAAATTATTGATGTGATGGAAAATATTTTTTATTGAAGAATGTGTGATTGAAAATGAGAATTGATTTACTGTAGAAAAATCTAAATCTCTCTCAAACAGGGCCTAGTTGTTTTCTTGTTACCAACTACGACCTATATCAGACATAGTTGTCTTATCGTACCTTCAACAATCTGTATCGCATAATAATTGACATGCATGCCTAAAATAAATGGACATGTAGGCCCACTATTACTACATCGTGCTCGCATGCCAAAAAAAAAAAAAAATGACATGAAGGCAAGCTCATAATCATCTACTAGACAAATGTCATGCCCTCTTTTGGATTTAATCCCAAATTAAATCATGTCTATCCAATACTAATTTGTAGTCTGAAACGAAATATTTGTCTAAACTATTGTGACAAAATTGTAAAATTTAAATAAGAGCCATACTCTAATTTCAATTTGGACTTAACCTTATCAAGAGTCACAATTCTTAATTTTGGATAAAATTGTATCAAGTATCCAAATTAGATAGATTAAAATCCGATTTAGAGTCGAAATTGGTCAAAATCCCAAATTAGGTGTATGCTTAGATTAAGTCAAAATTCTCAATATTGGTCAAAATGCAAAACTTAATCACGAAATCAATTTGGGTCAAGATTCCCCAATATTGATCAAATTCAATTTCAGTCAAAATTTAATCTATGTCAAAATCAAATTCAATTTTGCCCAAAATTAATGAAATTCTAAAATTTTAGTCATGAGCTTTAAATTGGAAATAATTGATCTCCCGATCTAGTAGGTAGAATACAGATTTTTCACTGCTGATACAGTAAAAGATGTTTTTATCATATTTACTGGGACATGATATCAGAACCGTTAAATTGGAAACCCCAAATATAGTTAAAATTGAAATTGTGTCAAAATGCATCCAATTCAATTTCAAGTCGAAATCTCAAATTTGAGCAAACCCTAGGTTCGGCAAAGAGGGAAAATGGTTCAAAATCTTATTTTAAGCTTGTTTGAGCCTCATTATTAAAAAATTCATTTTCAATCCACATTCTTTAATAAAATAATCTTATACGCAAATCGATTTTTTTTTTCCATTTTTAAACACACATTCTCCAAAAATAACTATCCAAAAATGATTTTTTCCCCCTCTCAAAATGGGGCTCAAACANAACCGACCCACGAACAGCCCTATTACCAACTACGACCTATATCAGACCTAGTTGTCTTATCATACCTTCAACAATCTGTATCGCATAATAATTGACATGCATGCCTAAAATAAATGGACATGTAGGCCCACTATTACTACATCGTGCTTGCATGCCAAAAAAAAAAAAAAATGACATGAAGGCAAGCTCATAATCATCTACTAGACAAATGTCATGCCCTCTTTTGGATTTAATCCCAAATTAAATCGTGTCTATCCAATCCTAATTTGTAGTCTGAAACGAAATATTTGTCTAAACTATTGAGACAAAATTGTAAAGATAAGCTTAATCTCCTACAATTAATTAAATTAATTTTAATTTAAATTATATAATAAATAAAATTTAAATAAGAGTCATACTCTAATTTCAATTTGGACTTAACCGTATCAAGAGTCACAATTCTTAATTTTGGATAAAATTGTATCATGTATCCAAATTAGATTAAAATCCGATTTAGAGTCGAAATTGGTCAAAATCCCAAATTAGGTGTATGCTTAGATTAAGTCAAAATTCTCAATATTGGTAAAAATGCAAAACTTAATCATGAAATCAATTTGGGTCAAGATTCCCAATATTGATCAAATTCAATTTCAGTCAAAATTTAATCTAGGTCAAAATCAAATTCAATTTTGCCCTAAATTAATGAAATTCTAAAATTTTAGTTATAAGCTTTAAATTGGAAATAATTGATCTCCCAATCTAGTAGGTAGAATACAGATTTTTCACTGCTGATACAGTAAAAGATGTTTTTATCATATTTACTGGGATATGATATCAGAACCGTTAAATTGGAAACCCCAAATATAGTTAAAATTGAAATTGTGTCAAAATGCATCCAATTCAATTTCAAGTCGAAATCTCAAATTTGAGCAAACCCAAGGTTCGGCAAAGAGGGAAAATGGTTTAAAATCTTATTTTAAGCTTGTTTGAGCCTCATTATTAAAAAATTCATTTTCAATCCACATTCTTCAATAAAATAATATTATACGTAAATCAATTTT